GAGAAAATTATATGTTGTATATTCACAAAAATATGTACATGTACATGTTGTATAGATATATTGGCATTAACATAGATTGAGCCTAACCCTCGCCTACAATACAATAATACACTTTATTAACTAACAGATTAAATTGATTTCTCACTTCTTATATTAATTTTGTACATAAAAAAAAAATAAATAAAAAAATAAAAAAAAAAAATAATAATAATAATAATAATAATAAATAAAAAAATAAATAGCATTGCGAAATGTGATTTACATTTTAACGCCAAAATTTCTGCCATTTTTGTGTCGGTGTCCAATCCTCAACCACATAGTGTGTGTTGATAATTAAAGTGTGCTGTGTTGATATTTAAAAAGTATGTCGATCGGGTTCTCTAACGTAATTACTAATTAAAAGTATCCAAACGAAATAAATTATGTGAGACCATTTCATAATAGGCCCCCACCTAGGATTGCAAATGAGCCAAGCCAAGTCGAGCACTCGAGCAGGATTTTTTTTTTTTTTTTTTATCCACTGCTCTTCCCTCTCTTGATGGCGAATCTTGATTCATAGGTTGCATTGTTCCACATGAATTGATCAAAGAATGGAAAATAAGAAAATCGCACCTTTTTCTTTCTTTCGGAGCAGTTGGGGCGTATGCTCGACTTATCGAGCATGATTGTTTTTTTTTTAGCTGCTCGAGCTCCACTCGATAAAAATTACAATAGCTCGAGGTCAACTCGAAATCAAAATATGCTCGAGTTCGGCTCAAAAAGTTTTAAGCGGAAAAATAAAATTACCATTAATCAGACATGCTGATATGCTAATATACATATAATATATAATAATTTTAGAACGTGCTGAGTCAAAGTGCCAGTTTTGCACGCGTTGTAATTTTACGTGGCAAAATATTACGTTTTGTAATATAACTCGAATAAAAGATATATTAATTTTTTATACCGAAAAGCATAAGTTTGTATTACCATAAATACACATATGTAATATATTTAAGGTGTTCCACCATAAACCTATATTTAATATATTCTTTCTGTTATGTACATATTATCTCACTTTCCAAATGTCATGTTTTATCCATATTTTTTTATGTGTTTTAAATAAAAATATTATAAATAAAGTTATATAAATTAGTTTTTAAAATTTCAAATAATATTGTTAATTCCTTTTGTTCTTTATTATAAATGGTTATATATTGTTTCTTTTTTATTTTATCCAGCATCAACAAAATATGTAACTCTTTTTTTCTTTCTTTTTTTGGTTGTACATTTAAATATTTTATCAACGACTCGTGTAGTACACGAGTATTGTACAAGTATCTATATATATAAATATAAATAGGGCTATCCCATTAGTGATAAAAGTTTACTTTTTTTCGGGTTGATTATGACGACAGAATAGTACATTTATATTTTCTAAGTATTAATTATATCTTACACTAATTAAATAGTATATGAGTGTTACATAAGCATAAAAATTATATTGTAAAGTTTTTTCGTCAAGTTAATTATTCAAAAATCAATATTATTTTTTTTTTATCTCTTTAATCAACTATTTTCTTCAAATAAACTAATTAATTTAATGGTAGTGGATACTCTTTCAAATCACATGAATAATTGTTATATATAATAGTAAAATTAATATTTTTCCAACTAACTAATTAGTCATGATCCTTAATAATTATAAAAACTACATTATTCATTACATTTATGCAACTAATATAGCGATTCATATGCAGTTTATATAGTTATGTATGTACTAATTATTTTTACTAATGATCAGATTTTGTAAATGTGATACCAATATCTAACGTATAATTTTAATCTTATGATCACACATACAACTCATAATATTTTATTTCCATTCGTGCATGTGCACATCGATACTAGTTTTAAGAATTAGGTACCAAAATTGGGTTTCACTTTTATTGAAATAGTTTGCTAAACACAAATGTTGCTATGAGATAGATTTTTTTTAATTGTTAGATGAATCATGATACTTGTTGAATAAAAAAAAAAAAAAATACTTTACTCTGAAAAATGTCATACTTACATTATTATTTTCTTTTAATGACATTTTAATATAAATACAGTTGATTAATAGGAACACTCACCTATCAACTACTTTACTGTATTCAATTAAATGTTCTTAATTTGTTGTTTTTTCTAAATAGTACTCAAGAATTAAGACTTGAGATTGTGGCTTGGAGTTCATGGTGGCCCAACATATTGTCTTATTCATACTATTTGCAACATAGAGCCCACTGAATTTGGAGTTCATGGTGGCCCAACATATTATCTTATTATTTGCAACATAGAGCCCACTGAATTTTGAGAAGTGTTGTATGTAACGATTATTTCACCAATGAAAAATGTTCACCTACCCACGGTGGACACATGTTAATATGTCCACCGCGTAGGTGGCATGCACTCATTAGTGATGTATTTTTTTAAACATATTGACATCACCAATGAGTGCATGTCACCTACGCGGTGGGCATATTAATATGTGTCATCATGGGTAGGGGAACATTTCTACTTCACCAATATTATGTTACTAGTACAGTATCTGTGCATTACACGTGTGATTATTAAGAAATTTATATTTAAAATTTCAACAACAACAATAATAATAATAATAATAATAATAATAATAATAATAATAATAATAATAATAATAATAATAATAATAATAAAAGTATTTTCATTTTCAAATACATTTCTTTAACAACTATATTACAATTTATATTTAAAATAACACTTCATTTATATGGCTTATAACCATCTTACATTATATATTTTTTAAAATTATATCATTTAACAAATTTGTAGTTAAATTGATTTAAAAAAATGATTTTAAATTAATATTAATAGGTAATTTAATTTTTATTATAAAAAATATAATTATTTTTAGGTACAATATAGATGTCAATCGAAACTCATAAAGACATGATTAATTTGATATATTATGTATAAAAATTGATAATAAATAAATAGTTTATTAACTTTTAAATATATTTATAAATTAATTTAGTGAATATTTTCATAATTGTAAAAGAAATATGATGAAAAAATGAAGATTGAGGCAAAAAATTTTAACTTATATATCATGTCCATAATAACAAATGTAACATAACTAATACTCTTAAAAAGTACTATAAATATCTACTACATTTATTGCTATTCCAAGCATAATTATTTTTTGATTGAATGTAAATTATAATTTATCCAAGTTAAATGACAAAGTATAAAAATTTGCCGCGTAAAATCCCTAAAAATACGAGCTTGTCACTTAAGCTCAATTATATATCTCAAACCCTAAGGGTGTCAAGATATGACTTTCCATTGAGCTCCTTGCTAAAAAAGCCCCTCATAAAATCAGCACCGCTAACTGTTTTGAATTGGGCTGGATATTTTGGGCCCAGTAGGCTTGGAGCAGGGCCCAAATTGCCGTCGAGTCTTGGATTCAGAAATGTGGCAATTGAGAGCCTCTCCGTTTGTGAATTTGTTGTTGCTCTGTGCTCAATGCTCCTATAAATTCCATTGGTCACCACCTGAAATTCATGTTGAAAATAAAGATTATAGTTTCCAATCAAATCATTTTGAAAATTATGAACAATTTAAATAAGTAAATACAATCTTATTTCACTTTGAAAACATGAGAACCAAAAGTTTCGATATATAAAATAAGGGGGAGATACTACAGTCTCGTTACAGAACCATTCTGTCGAGGTCTGTAACCGTTAGATCATCATGTGATTGTCGGGGATAGTTGATCTCACGGTTACAAACCTCGACAGAATGGTTCCGTAACGAGACTGTAGTATCTCTATTTTGGAAGATTGTAAAAAATATTCGTTAACTAATCAAATTACGAAAAATACTTCTCATACCGCCATATTTACAATTTTGCCATATAATTGGCCAAAAAAAAAAAAAAAATCCACAATTAATACTAGAATTTCACTTCAAAATGTTTTATTTTCTTGCACAATATCAATATGTACCTCCAAAGCATCACCAATGTTGACAACAAATGCATCAGGGAGTGGTGAAACTGGGACCCAAAACCCATCTTTCTTGACCTGGAGGCCCACTGTCTCATTGACCTGTAGGAGAATAGTAAGCCCAGAAGCATCAGAATGGGGGCAAAAGCCCATTACAAGCTCTGGCTGGGGACATGGAGGATAATAATTCATCCTCATGGATTG